GAAACGTCAGCCTCTCTGCTCCTATGATGCTGCTTGGCCTGCTGTGTTCATCCAGCCCTGCACCTTGTTGTCTCAGAGAAGGTTCACTGTTTTTTCTGGGATGAAGGGGTTGTTTTACAAAGAACGTTTGGGCCTGCGCTGATTGAAGTTTGGAAGATTGTGACATAATCTTCCTGAAACACAGAAGACACTGAAGGGGTTGATGGCGGTGGGATGCTGAGGAGATATTCACCTCATGGAAAAATCTGGATCAAGTCATAGTGTCATACAACACGGGAACAGACCCTTTGGTCCAAACAGTCCATGCCAATCATAATCCAAAACTAAGCTAGTCCCACCTGCCTGCTCCTGGCCCCTATCCCTCCAAACCTTTCCAATTCATGTATCTATCCAAATGTTTCCAATGTTGTAATTGTATCCACTTCCACCACTTCCTGTGCTGGAGAAACTCAGCAGCTCTGGCAGCATTTGTGCAGAGAAAAACAGAGTTAATGTTTTGAGTCCTGAATGACTCCTTTTCCGAACAGATATGCTCTTTTTGAAAGGCAAAGCAGAGTCAAGAGTCAGTATGGCTTACTCCTGCTCTTATTTTTAATTCTTACACAAGACAACCAATTAATTACATTAGAGAGTGCAACTTTGAACAGAACCACTGTAAACTTAATAATGCTCATTTCTTGGCTCTCATTCCACCTTTTCGCTCCAAATCTTACTACTGTCGAGAATATCAGACTATTTCCCCTTTCCTTTTCACATAACAAGTCGCAGTAAAACAGGATTGCAAGAAAATTGGCCAGTAGCAGCCCATTTAGTTTGGAAAATAATAGCGGGGCTATCACTTTAAGAGACTCCTAATGTACCCATGTTAATCTAATTTCAGTAAATAGGAGCATAGGAACAGGAGTAGGCCATTCAGCCCCTCAAGCTTGTTCTGCCATTTAAGAGATCATGGCTGTATATTACAATTAATAGCTTTTGACAAACTCAGTTTGGAGTCTGTTAAATTAACACTTTAAAAAGTTAGTACAGTGCTAGTATTCTGCTGACAATAGTGATCATTATAGAATCCCTACGGTGTGGAAACAGGCCATGCTGACTCTCAGAGCATCCCACTCAGACCCATTCCCATTAGCCCACTTAATCTATATATACACCACAGCCAACCCACCAAGCCTATATATCTTGGGATAGTGGGAGGAAACCCACACAGACATGGGGAGAATGTGCAAACTCCACACAGACAGTATGCCAAAGATGGAATTGAACCTGGGTCCCGGGTACTCTGAGGCTGTAGTGCTAACCACTGAGCCACCATACCGCCCCTAATCTTCAGGCACTGTCAACAGTGTAGTTGTAGATAAAAAAAACCGGGACAGTGGAACTTTGATTAGTGGTGATAATAGCTGTTACAAGTGTGAGTGCATGTTATGTTTGTGTTAATTATTCGGAAATGTACGAGTCTTGCTAAAATTCTTCTTGAGTTGCATCTGATTGATTTAGGTACAGTTTGAAATATGGGGTGTGAAATATTATTATAAAACAAAGAACTGTGGATGCTGGAGATCTGAAACTAAAGCTGAAAGTGCTGGGAAAACTCAGCAGCATCTGTGGAGAGAGAAACAAGTCCAGTGATCCTTTTTCATAAAAGTTGAAGGGTTCCTCTGCACAGATGTTGCCAGACCTGCTGAGTTTAATTTTGAAATATTATTGTTTCAGTTGAAGTTGAACTATAATTGCATGGTCTGAGTTAGAGCAGTACTCAGTGCAGTGTATGTTTATGTTAAAGGAGAATTTTGAGGGTGAAGGGGTCAAGAACCCAATTCAAGAGTGGTTAATACCCTGAGTTAATATTTCTGGGATGATGGATGCCAACAAACTTTTGAAAGCTTTTTAGAGATTAAGCTTTAATTGTCCTTAAGTCTTGAGAAATGATTATACAATAGTGGCAGGAAGTTCCTGTTTTAAACATAAGCTGTATTAATAATAACAATGTGATCTGTGAATCTTGGAAATATTTCGAACTCAAAGTTACTAATATGCAATAGTGAAAATCTGGTTCCAATGAGACTCTTATTCTGAGTAGTTTAACTGATTTACATAATACCTCTGCCATTGCTGAAGAATATATGCTGTATTTCACACAGTCATTTATGGAACTGCTGTTTATGTGGGGCCCACCACTCGTAAGCCTAAAGCTGACTCTTACCCACAAACTTCCAGTGGGGATTGCTGGATGGTAACAGTCAGAAGAATTCTGGCCATTTTTCTTTTACATGGGATGCTTGCTATTTATAATCTGTCCAAGGTCACCCCATACTGGGAAACATTAACTTATCTCAAATCAAGAACTTTCCTGATCTAGATTTCAAGTGCAACAAATGCTCTTCATACATAAGAACATAGGAACCAGGAGCAGGAATAGGCCATTCAGCCCCTCGAACCTGCTCCACCATTTAGTAAGATCATGGCTGATCCCATCTTGGCCTCAATTCCACTTTCCTGCTCGCTCTTCATAACCCTTCAACCCATAACACATTAAAAATCTCTCCATCCCCTCTTTAAATTTACCCAATGTCCCAGCATCCACCACACTCTGAGGTAGTGAATTCACGATCCTTTGAGAGCAGTAATTTCTCCTCATCTCTGTTTTAAATCTGTTGCCCCTTATCCTGAAACTATGACCACTTGTTCCAGATTGCCCCACATGAGGAAACATCCTCCCTCCGTCTACTTTGTCAATCTTCTTTAGTATCTTATATCCTTCAATTAGATCTCCTCTCATCCTCCTAAGCTCCAAAGAATTTCAGTCGAAATTCAGTCGAAGACAAACCCCTTATCTTTGGAATCAACTTAGTGAACTGCCTGAGTCTGAGATTGTTCAACAAGTGCTGGCCAATCTCAAATTCTCACCCGGGGCATGCTGGACATTAGGTTCTGGGTTCTGCAAACACAGGCTAGTTGAGTACATTTAATACCCTGTCAGTGAAAATGGCTGCTTGATACGATCTATCAGAATCAAACTGCCAACCAATCAGCACTCCTTTCTCATCCTGTATACATCGTTGTTCCCTATAAATTTTGGCATTCTTCCATCTGTCCTGATGAGGGAAAGATGATAAGCTTTGACGGTGTATCTCTCTGTTTCAGCAATCCCCGAGTTTTGTCACTCCAAATGAAAATGGTGCTCTTGTTGGACTAACAAAATCATTTGAGACGTCTTCACTCTTCCTTTCTTCCTCTCCATCTGTTGTGGTGCCCTTTCTTTAAAAAAAAGCATCCATTAGACTTGTCTTAACTATGTTCAAATGAGCAGAGCAAGGACAGCTCATGGCCTGTCCATAAATATTTCAAAATCACACTGTGGACCCATTCATCTCATCAGATTCTTATGTGTAGGTGTTAGTGAGGTTCCTTC